CGCGTCTTGTTGATCGACGTGGAGGCATCTTTCAACTATAAGTTTACAAAGATGAAGATATTGATAAGAATTTAATAGGAAATTGATGAAAATGACTCATGGACTAACTCTCCATAGCCCAACAGCACAATTGAATAGCACGATTGAATGTAGATCTAGAACTAACAGATGATAGCATTTGGATAATAATTTCCATGAGATTAGATATCTGTCAATAATACTGGAATTACAGATGTAATGAGTTCGGGAAAAATGACCTAGAAGTAGGCCTTACATCAACCAAGATGGGAAAATTTTGACAGACTACTACCTAATCAAGACCTAACGGGTCTAAGATTTACAAAGATAGGAAATTAGACTAGAGTTTTTACACTAACTAGGTTATATCCAAAAGAGAAGTCGATGAGACTCTAACGGCGACGAGAACTACTAGAGTGAGTTCTTGACTCCGACAGAAGACGTTCTATGTCCCTCACGCGCCTATCAGATCTTGCTTGCTGAGCTCGAAGTTCCCTGACTTCAGCTTGGGTTTCAGCAAGTTCCCTCTGCAGAACTGCATTGCGGACCTGAGTCCTTTCATGAGCAGACTCTAGCTGGCGAATGCGGACTGTGTTAACGCCAGAGTTGGCGTCAATCTCCACTACTCGGTCAATAGTTGCTCGACCTTGCTCGGTGTTCCGAGCAATCCTACGAACCATGATGGGTAGGACCCTGTCAGCTGAACCTCCCTCGGTGAGGTTGTAGAAGCTTCTGTCTCCATTGTAGGGAATGGGTTGACCCTGTTCCTGACTCCATCTATTCAAGTTTGTGGCCCACATGGGTGTGGGTCCTTGAAATGCTGGACGAGGATTCAGGTTTGGGTCTTGAGCAGCTGGGGGTAGGTTGTTGACTTCTGGCTCTGAGTCAGAATCCTCAGAAAAGCCTTCAGCTTCGTGATCATCCAATGGGATTGGGTGATCATCTTCTGGCTCTTCTCCAAGCCATCCTGCATTGCCGTGGTTGGGGTAGTACGGGTCTTCGGGGATATGGAATCCAGCCATGATATCTATGCGAGAAAAGAGATAAAGAAATAACTAAATAGACGCACTAATTAGATAATTATAAGATGATCTTTATCAGTTACTTCAACATTTGCGTAGTGCATACCAGTCATATGTAACCAAGACAGGATAGACCTTCGAATAAGTGACCCTAACTCTAAGCCCACAACAAAACAAGGAACAGGAAGTAAAGCAAAGATCACAGATTCTAAGTCTATGATATCCTAGAAACATATAACCATAGCGTATCCACTCAGCAACTATTGACATACTAATAAAGACCTTTAGTTCTCAGATAAGTAATTAAAGTAACACAAAATACTCCTATAGTTTTTTAAGTTTATGCTCTGTTCTACTGTTCTCATTGTAGTAGTGTTGGTAAGTTTTTAGACTTGTTGCAACCTCACAACCACACTTAGGCACATGCTAGTCAACCCTCGGATAACATAGTTGATCAGGCTATATCTTCCCAGCTTTGACTATATGTCTCTAAGTCTACTTGTGTTGTCCAACAATCGTAATACTTTTGTTCTGTCCTAGTGACACTGATTTTAGTATGAATGCAGGTATGTATACTTGGTTAAATATTTTATTATTTAAAAGTATAAACTCTTTATCAGAGTATTTTAATCCCGTTGTGTTTATAGTTCGTATATCTTTTATGGGTTGATACACTCGATTCACTATAAACAATGCTCTGATACCAATCTGTCACACCCCAAAACCGGAATGGCGGAATCGTTCGGGGGTGGAGGACACCATGTTCAGTATCACAACAATGCAGAGTAGTAAACAAGCAACAACATCATCCATTGCATTAATAATATAATTTCATACAAGTGTGTTCTGTCAAGTTATATAGACACCAAAAATATACATCAAAGTAAAAGATGAGTCTTGAACGAGCTCCATCTTCTCAAAAACCTGGCTCCGGTACCTGTCTACTAGTGACCTGAGAATACAAGTTATTTTGAAAGAGTTTATCAGCTTTAAAGCTGGTGAGATCATAAGTATATTAATGTCTGTATTTGCATGAAAGTGTTTGTAAGTCTGTAATTGTATAAGTTTGTAAAAGTTTGTAATTGTTTGAACTCCCCTAGAAAACCCTATGTTTCCTACTAAAAGTAGCCTTCTACCAAGGCATCTAGTAACTGTGTGTGTGTCTCTTGTAAGAGGGTGTATTTTCCCAAATCCGACTATGATTAACCAAAAATATAGTTTTTACATTATTGTTTATTGTGTGAAGATCACAAAGTAAATGTAAAGGGAAAATGAAATAGTACTGTAGTGTTGTATTAAGTAACTACTGCTGTACTAACTACCTTAAATCAATTGTTATTTAAAGTAACATGTGATCGGCCTGTATCCTGCTACCGACTCATAGAAAAACGACGATGTAAGACGTCGTAAGAAATGACGTTTGGCACCCGTAGACTTGCAAGTCCCACTGTAGCGAGCAGCAAGGTGTAGGATAGTCAATCCAGTATAGATCTATACACAAACTCATACGCTCCCCATTTAAGGACATTTTGGATACAAAACGGTCATGGCAGGTAGTGCCATGCCCTGTTACGTGGCTCACATAACTGTAAGTAATGTATATGTATATGTATGTGCTAGCTGTATTGTGTTTTCTTCCTCTGTCTAGCCTGTATGTATGTTCTCTCTGTAATGTATTGTTTGTTTCTCATCACTATGTATTATGTTTGTTTCTCATGACTATGTATTATGTTTGTTTCTCATCACTATGTATTATGTTTGTTTCTCATCACTATGTACTACTCATGAATGAACTGACTCATTGTATGTTTCATTGTTCTAGTTATAGTATTAGTATCTCCCTTAACTATACCTATTATAGCTTACTAGTAATGTTGTTTGTGTATATGAACATGTGTGTATACCTTTGCTACCCAAAGGTATTGAACTGAATGAAAGAAGTAACCTTTTATATCTATATACATATACATAATATATAACTAGGATTCAAACGACCTTCGGACAAATAACCTGAATACCCTAAGTCCACAACCAAACAAGGAACATGAAGTAAGGTGAGCTATCAGTCCTAAGTCCTTTCAATCCTACTTATATAACAATATCTTCATAGATACACAGAATATAAGTTAAAAGAGTTTAAGTAAAAGTATTTAACATGTAAAAGAGTTTGATAAAAGCATTTGGTATGTAAAAGAGTTTGTAAGACAGTTTGAAGTAAAACAGTTTGGTAACACAGTTTGAAAAGTAAGAAATTCACTTGTTTGGTAGTTATTAATCACGTGTGATTGATATAATAACTATAATAGTTCAACTTGTATTCCCCCCCCCCCCATAAAAGCATTTAAAAACATTTAAAAGGTTAATTAAGGGGTATGAACTCACCTGTAGTGAGTGGTTTGGATGAACGGACTGTATAGGATGCTAAGTGTCAAGTGAAGACTTGTACACACTCAATGATCCTAGTTAACATATAATAACACATATATGTATCCAATTAGTCATTAAACAACTAATTAACCAATTTAAAGACATCCTAAGACATGTAAAACACTTTATTTAAGAGTTATTAGTACTAAGGATTGCATCTAAGGGTGGTAGGACCTTGCATTTGAGTTTAGGGTTCAAGGGTAAACTCCCTTGGAGTTTACGGTTTTGTGACCATCACTCAATGAGTTTACGGTCGTAAACCCATGAGTTTACGGTCGTAAACTCATGGTACTTTGACCATTTTGTGCTTTGAAGCTTTAAAGATCATAAGAAGCATTCCTACTTCATGTTTAAGCCTTAGGAAGTGTTTAGGGCACCATTTCACTCATTTGTGGAGTTTACGGTCCTTGGACCATTTGTCTTTGGGTTTACGGCCGTAAACCTAAATGGTTTATGGTCTTTTGATGTTTTCAAGTACTAAGCACATCAAGGAAGGGTCTAGGCTAGTTTCCAAGGCTTGGTAAGGGATTAGGGCACACTTTGGCACCCTTTTTAGGGTTTACGGTCCAAGAACATCTTGGACCGTAAACACCTTTGATCTTGTGTTTCTTGGGTGTTTTCTTGATGATTAGAAGTGTAACAAGTCTTATAATACACTAGGGTAAGAGTACTTACTAGGTAGAAGCTTGAAAAGGTGCTAAAAGTCCAAGAACACTAGTGTGTGTTCTTGATGTTCTTGGTAAAACTTGAAGATCTACACTTTTGGAATGATTTCACAGATGGAATCATGTAAGATCACTAGATTAAGTAAGATATCAACTTTTTAGGGATAGAAACACTTACAAAGTTGAAGATCTTGAAGAAAAGTCGGATGATACTTGAGAGAGAAATGGGTTTTGGATCTTGAAAATGTGAAAAGTGGTAAATAATGACTAAGTGTCATATTTATACCCCCTTTTAGGGTTTATGGCCGTAAACACCTTTGTTTAGGCCGTAAACTCCAAACTCTTGGAGTTCTGGGATATTATTGTTGCACAATAAACCCTAGGGCATCCTCTCTCCTGTTATCTCCTGAAGTACTAACTTAAAAACACTCAAACTTATTCCAAAAAGCTTGAAAGTTAGCAGAAACTGTTTTGACTTCTATTGAATTGAGTGGTTGTACTGAATAAAAATTTCGGGTTGTCACAGAAACTGTCACACCGCTGAACGTCAGGGACTGAAAATGTAACTCTGCATCAATTTCTCTTTGATTTGTAACAGTTTCTAGAAATGGACCAAAACTGCCAAGCTGTGAAAACAACACAGACCAAAAGAGTCAATTCGCTAAAGATGCAGGGACCAATAATATCTTCTTCCCTATTTAGACGCAGATGAATGAATGTGACTAGAACGGACAGCAACTCGCGATTGAAATACGAATCCAGGAAATTACCAACCCCCGAATTAACCTTCTTTCTGAGCACAAAGATTCATACCCATACCAAAGCGAGTCCAAGTTTGTTCCAAGTTCGTTGATACAAAAACGAAACCATGTTCGTTCCGAGCATCACGATGCAAATCCGATTTCATGACCTTTTGCTTCAAATCAATAGATCACAGAACAAAAGCGAAACCTTAGCCAAACCGAATCCAATCACAGGTTTGCTTTCTGTCCTCCCCTCTTTCGTTCCAAGCACAATCACACGAACCCAAGTTCGTTTCAAGTTCGTCGATTATACTCCAAAGCGAATCCCCATTCTTTCGTTCCAAGTGCTAACAAACGAACCCAAGTTCGTTCCGAGCACACGTATACAAACACGAATCCAGGTTTGTTTCGAGAACAAGCCTTCATACTGAGCCCTGAGTTCTGAACGCCAAGTATCACACCCAAAGCGAACCAATTTCAAACACGAACCCAATCATAGGTTCGCTTCTGAATCGAATGATCGTGGGAGAAGAACGAGTGCAATCCTAGATTTCCATTCCCGATTTCTCACCCTTTCGCTCCAAATCAACAGACCAAATACGAATCTCCAGGTAAGCACGAAACCAAGAACAAGTTCGTTGCGAATCACAGTCAACAAATGTTCGCAGGTAACTTAATTTTGACTTTCGTTTGACCGGTGTTCTTCCAATTGAGTTCTGATTTCATTCGCAGGTGACAACTTTTCTGACCAATTTTGACTTGGCAATTGCGAACATAACACATCCCAGTTTAGTTCAATCTCCTTCATTCCAATCATCATTCTACTGACGCGAATCCAATTATATTTGTTTGATGATCCAATTTTGCTCCAATTTTAACTTTTCTGCTTTGACTATTCATAACAATCTTATTTGATTAACGATTGAGAACAAAGACTTACACACAATCCAATTGCGTGACCATCTAAACACAATACTTGACAATCCGATTCCAAGATCAAATACTACATCATCTATAAAACTTTATTGCGTTTATCATCGTTCTTCAATAAAACTTCAAGCATATCACCGATTTTCAAACAAAAACATCATCCTCATTCGTCAATCCAGTAACAATAGCTAAATAATCATCAATTTCTAACCATTATTGAATTAATCATGAAATCAATTAAATGAAGAATGAATCTGAGGGATCGAAGAAAAAAAACGTTGTGATACGGATTTCGAATAAGTCAAATCCGGTCATCATACATGAATCAATTATGAAATTGAAGGAACCAAATGAATCTCATCAAGAAATCGATTATGAGATAATCGAGATTCTACTAGAATGATCGAACAGATGGATGTAAGGAACAAATGATGTAGAAAAGCAAATGACGCAAACGGAAACTCTTTGATATAATATTAGGGCTCACAAGAGTGGATCATGAACAGTAATGAACAAAAACGTTGGTCCAAATCAAAGAAATTGATTTACGAGGCAATTGACAGATTTAGTAAAAAAAATTGATCAAATCCAACAGAAAATATGAACAAAATACGATTTGGATTGAAATAATACCCAGATGAACAGTAGATGAACAGCATAAATTTCCATGAACAGTAACTTGAACAGAATTTTGATTCCAAGACACCAAAACGCCAATAATCTTCAAAATCTTGTGCAGAAAATTATCAAACCAAGAACCGATACTTCAAAAATCAATAGATCTTCAAAGACCCGCTCTGATACCACTTGTTGGGAATAAAACCCTAATTGAGATTTGATGAACAAGATGCGGAAAATAAGAACAAACACAAATATGAAGATATGTCGAATGATCACTCGATTTATTCAATTATGAGGAACTGATTACACTTTAAGAATAAGAATCTAAATCTACAAGAAACCTCACAACGTGGCGGCTACATTTTGCCTCACTCTTGACCCTAATTATGAATAATACATGACTATTTATAGGGAAAAGACAAGTCTTGGGCTTTTAACCTACACTTCATCAAGGGGGCCCATTGCCATGATCTATGGAGTACTTTGAAACCCTACAGACCTAATTTCAATGATTGGATTCACAACATTTGAATGGACTTGCGATATGAAGAGAAGGAATACGTTCTCGACAAGCAACTTAACAATATCGATGAAACCAAATCTACTCCTGAACAGATAGCTGAGTATCGGGCTCACGAAAAGGACGCGACAAAGGTGTCGTGTATAATGGTAGCCACTATGACTCTTGAGCTACAGCGGTTCTAAGAGGACTACTGGCCTTACGAGATATGCCAAGATTTGATGGAAAAGTATCATCAAAGTGCACGTCAAGGAAGGTACGAGATTGTTGCCTCGCTAATAACAACCAAGATGAAAGATGGAGAGTCCATCACGACCCACTTGCAAAGAATGCAAAGGTATGTGGATCGTTTGCTGAAGTTGAATATCAACTTTGACGAAGAGCTGGCGATTGATATAATCCTCCACTCTTTACCTCCTTGTTATGATCAATTCAAGATGACTTATCATATGAACAAGGAGGAAGTCACATTGAGCAAGCTTCAAGGTTTGTTGAGAACTGCTGAAAGTGGACTTAAAGGCAAAGTTATCGAGTCCACCCCTGCGGTTGCTGCTTCCCCGGTCCTTGCTATAGGACATGTAAAAGGGAAAAAGACGAAAGCTCCCTCCAAGAACCACAAGGTAAAGTCCCATGATGGATCTACTTCAAATGGATCCAAAGGTAAATCTGGTTTTGCCACTCCCTCATCCGATCCTAAAGAAGCGACGTGCTTCTACTGTCACGACAAGGGGCATTGGAAACGAAGTTGCCCTAAATACTTGCAGGACATCAAGGATGGGAAAATAGAACCCACCTTTGCAGGTATTTATACTATTCAATCTAATAACTCATCATATACTAGTTCTTGGGTCTTTGATACAGGATGTGGTTTTCATATTTGTTCTGATTTTCAGGGGCTAAGAAGAAGTAGGGATGTGGAGATGACAAGGAATATTATTTCTTTTCATGTCACTAAGATCGAGATTTACTCTTTAATGCTTAGTAGTGGGTTAGGATTAGAGTTGAATGATTGTTGCTACTCGTCAGAGATGACAAGGAATATTATTTCTTTTCATGGTTTGTAAAGACAAGGTTTTAGATTTTCATTTAATAATGAAGTTGGTTCTATTAATTCTTTCTATAATGGTATTTTTTATTTTGAAGCATTGCCTTGTAATGGTGTATATGAAACTGTGATGGTTGTAGATAACTTAGGAAATAATGTGTTGCATATCGATTCGTCTAATGGTTTAGACAAGGCATGCTTGTGGAATTGTCGTCTTGGACATATCAACAAGAAGCGGATAGCCCAACTCCAAAAGGATGGAGTCTTGGATTCATTTAACCTACAGTCAGATGACATATGCGAATCTTGTTTACTTGGAAAGACGACTAAAAAACCTTTCACTGGTACTTGTGAAAGAGGTGAGGGATTGTTGGATCTCATACACACAGATGTGTGTGGGCCCTTTAGATCCACCACAAGGGATGCTAACCGCTTCTATGTGACTTTTACCGATGACTATAGCAGATATGGATATATCTACTTAATCAAGCACAACTCGGAAACCTTTGAAAAGTTCAAAGTGTTTAAGCAAGAAGTGGAGAATCAATTGGGCAGGAAGATAAAGATGCTTAGATTCGATGGGGGTGGTGAGTATCTTATTATCGAGTTCCACGTCTATCTTAAGGAATGTGGAATTGTTTCACAACTGACGCCACCTAGAACACCTCAACTTAATGGTGTGGCTGAGAGGCGCAATCGAACCTTGTTGGACATGGTTCGTTCCATGATGAGTCGAGCTTCGTTACCTATCTCATTCTGGGGGTATGCCTTAGAGAATGCCGCCCATATCCTTAATTTAGTTCCAACTAAGAAGGTTGCCAAAACACCTCATGAGATGTGGACGGGGAAAGTTCCCTTGTTAGTACATATCAAGGTTTGGGGTTGTGAAGATTTCGTAAGACGAGAGACTCATGACAAGCTTGAACCTCGAAGTGAGCGGTGTATTTTCATCGGCTACCCATATAAATCCTTTTGATATCTTTTCTATAAACCTAGAGATAACGTGGTCTTCGTAGCAAGGAGTGGGGTTTTCTGCGAAAGAGAACTCATATGCCAAGAGGACAGTGGGAGGCAAATTGATCTTAAAGAGCTTCAAGAGTCAAGCATGAAGGAACCTCTAATACTAGCACTCAACCTGAGGAAGAGATTCCTGTTGAATCGATTGACGAGTCATTACCTCTAAGACGTTCCTCTCGAGTTAGGATCACACCGTAGTTTTATGGTTTTCATATTACTACGGAAGGTGATACGTTTATCAGTGATAGTACACTGGTAAATTTGAATGAGCCTACGAACTACAAGGAAGCCATGGCGGGCCCCGAGTCTGAAACATGGAAAGAGGCAATAGACAGCGAGATCCAGTCCATGTATGGCAATCAAGTTTGGAACTTGGTTGACAATGTACCAGGTCGAAAGACAGTTGGGTGAAAATGGATCTTCAAGAAGAAGACCGACATGGATGGTAAGGTGCATACATTCAAGGCACGGCTGGTTGCAAATGGCTTTACTCAAGCCCCGAGGGTTGACTATGATGAGACCTTCTCACCATTAGCCAAGATCAAGTCTATTAGGGTTATGTTAGTTATCGCTGCATTTCATGATTATGATATTTGGCATATGGATGTCAAAACGGCTTTCCTTAATGGGAAGCTGGATGAAGATGTTTACATGTGTCATCCAGAAGGTTTTGTGGATGCTAAATACCCCAATAGAGTATGCAAGCTTGAGAAATCCATCTATGGATTAAAGCGAGTCTTGCAGATGGAATCTTTGCTTTGACGAGAAAGTCAAAGAGTTTGGTGTCTCTAGAAGTGAGGATGAGTCATGTGTGTATGTCAAGGCTAGTGGGAGTATAGTTAGCTTTCTATTATTGTACGTCGATGACATACTGCTCATAGGAAACGACATCCCGACCCTACAGCAGGTTAAGTCCTGGCTTGGGAAATGTTTCGCTATGAAGGATCTAGAGGAATCTGCTTATATTCTGGGGATAAGGATTTTGAGAAATATGAGTAGAAGACTAATAGGACTTAGTCAAAGTACTTACTTGGACAAGGTGCTGAAACGTTTTAGCATGGAGAATTGTAAGAAAGGGGATCTGCCAATCCAGAGTAATACCAAGCTGAGTAAGCCTCAGAGTCTGAGTACCGATGCTGAGATAGTGGAAATGATTCGAGTGCCTTATTCTTCCGCCATAGGGTCGATCATGTACGCTATGAGATGTACTCGCCCTGATGTGGCTTTTGCGTTGAGCATGGTTAGCCGATATCAAGGGAACCCGGGTAGAGCTCACTGGACAGCAGTGAAGAACATTCTTAAGTACCTACGAAGGACTAAGGACTGGGTCCTTATACTTGGTGGGAGTGATGACTTGAGAGTGACAGGGTATAGTGACACCAGCTTTCAAACCGACAGAGATAACTTCCGCTCTCAATCGGGTTCGGTGTTTACCCTAAATGGAGGAGCACTTACTTGGAAAAATTCCAAGCAGGAGATCGTGGTTGATTCAACATGTGAATCAGAGTACATAGCAGTGAGCGAAGTGTCCAAGGAGGCGATATGGTTGAAAAACATCATTGGAGACCTTGGAGTTGTACCAGCCATAAAGGAGCCCATGGAGATTTTCTATGATAACGAAGGAGCGGTTGCCTTAACCAAGGAACCAAGGGATCATGGCAAATCCAGACATATCGACCTAAAATACCACTTCATCAGACATTGGGTAGAAGAAGGACTCCTTGTGGTCAAGAGGGTATCATCAGAAGAGAATCCTGCAGATCCCCTCACAAAGGGCCTGAGTAGGGTTAAGCACATTCAGCATGCGAGGAGCAATGGTCTGAAGGACGATATTCGTTTTAGTGATTAGATAGATGTTTAGAAACTTGTAATAGATAAATGTAATTGACATTTGATGATTAAGTAATTGAGATTTATTTATGAGTAAAGTCTACTATCTTGTGTCAATTATTTACTATTGTTTCATTTTTGCATGTTTTACTTCCAGAATAATTAGATTGTTCAAATTGTCCACAGTCGATCATACTTCGGAAGTAAGTTATGAGGTTAGACTGTCGTGAATTGGTTTGTAGATTGTCTAAGTGTTTATACATAGCAAAGGTTTGCTGCAACGTTCATGAGTACTTATGAAATAAGATTTGAGTATTGGATTAAACCCACGCTCATGTGAATCACTTCATGGAATTTATCATGAGTGATTGTGAGGTTATAATATCGTATAATATTTAAACCGAGATATATGAGTTGTTGTTTACAAGTTGGTTATGCATTGATAATGCGTAAACGTATCAATAACTTGAAGACTCATAACTTGGATGGAACCCTAACGGCATTGGAATATTCCATCCATTCTCCGTTAAGTAGGGCAAAGGTGTCAACTGATGACTAAGTCATGATGACGTGTCAACACCTGATTGGTCAAGCCATGTCATGGGCTTTTCCAATGCCTATAAATAGGCCCCTTGGGATACATTATAAAGTTGCTCTTTTCTGATCATTCCTGCTCATTCTACACAATTTCTGCTAAGACTAGTCTTTAGAGAGCCACTTGAGAGTTTTAGTGTGTTTTACATTCAAACACTTGTAATTGAATCTTCATGAATATAAGAAACATTTGAATCATTGATCTTGAACATTAAAAAATGCTTTTATCATAAACTTGGTGATTCACAACTCTTTATTTTTCACACTACTTGCCACTTGACGATTCTGAAACTCTATTTCAGTATTTTCAACACTTGGACTATTCTAGTCTAGGTTTACTGAATTATTCTCATCAGGTGAGATATATTCCCTTCAGAAGACTGTTCAGTTGCTAGTCGATGCAGTCAAGGCTATCAAGAAACAATCTTCATCTTCTGATCTATGTGCTCTTCAACAAAAGGTTGCATCGACTGATTCCAAACTTGACTTGATCTTAGCAAAGCTATCGGGTTCAAATGAGAGGCCACCTGAACCAGAGGGGAAAAAGCTCCACAAGACCAGATCAAGTCAGTCTCCTATCATACACCAAATTCCAGACTCACCAAATGAGTTTGAGAAAAGGAGACATGAGAAAATAGAGTCACTTGACAAAATGGCTGCTGATGCATGATTAAAGGCTCAACAGAACAGAGCAAAGATAACTGAGAAAGAAAAGGAACTCGTTCGATGACAAGGGATCAAAGATGAATCTCTAAAAGTTCCAAGAAGGAAAGATGCTTACTTCTCCAAACCTGTCACTATATCAGAACCAATCACTCAGCCAAAGCTTTCTCAAACTGATCCCAAGGATAAGGGAAAACAGAAGATTATCTTCAAGTCTAAGAAGGAATTAGGTAAAGAAGCTCAAATGGAGATAGATGAAGAATTAGCTAAGCAACTGAAGGCTAAGGAATTAAAGTCTAAACAAGAGATGCTTCTCAAAAGGAAATCTTCAGAGATCTCGACTGAAGAAAGGAGTACATGGCATGATGAACAATTTAGAGTGTCTTCACCTAATAGAACCATCTTCTTTAACCCTGACAGAGATTCCTATCAAAAGGTAAAGGTCATCAAGCCCACAAATTCCTTCACACCTCCTTCAGACATCACTAAAGAAAATTAGGATATTCCTGCACCCCCGAATGGTATGAAGTTCAATTTATGGCCAAGTGTAATTTATCCAGTTGAGGTTGATATAGACATTGAAGAGCTAAAGAAAGGATTCTTCCTGAAGAAATCAATTCAAGTTGTCCCTGTATGGTCAAAGTTCAAGATTGCTTCAATTAGCAAAATTGACATACGAAAATTTAGAAAGATGCAATATGCATTCTTTAAAGGAAGAAGGACAGACAACTCTGAATTGATGTTTTCTGAAGCTGATTTCCCTAAAATAAACCAAGTTGATATCAGATCACTGATCATTTGGTTGAAACAAAGGGTGAGTACAGATAAAGCTTATGTAGATGTTCTACAACGCCTAAGGCAATATGTGCTCGACATGGTTATTGATTTCAGTGTTGACTGGTAGATTGGACAGCTAGGAGAAAAGGAAGCTGAGGAACCAAATTTGGACCTAAATATGGAGAATGAGTCGCCTGGGAACATTCTAAAGAAACCATACAGAGGTGTTGTATTCTCTTCTAAAGATTGACTGAAATTCATGAGAATCTCCCAAAAACATCTATTCTCTTCTAAATTCATTAAAGGCGTCATTGGTTTATTGAGGAGAACAGAAGATCAGGATGAATCGATAAGAGTGAAGATCATTGAAGAACTTACATGGTTTTTAAGTTTTCGGCAATGGTTAATAAACTTGAGAAACAAAGTTTAGATTATGTTTATTTTGTCTTGTTTTTTCCAAACATGTGAATGATGTTTTTGCTATTAGTAATTTATCTTAGTGTTAAAATTCATCTTGCATGTTATTACTTTTATTTCTACTTTTATTTTTACTCCTTATTTTAGTAACCATCACATAGGGGGAAACTGTTGGAAAATATTTGTATGTGATTGTCACTTGAAATAAGTTGAGTCCTTTTATATATCTCTCTAACAAACATTATCAGAGTGTTTCAGGTTGGAAAGATACTGAAGATTCAACAAGTGTTTGAAGAATCAGATGTTGGAGCACTTGAAGTTGAAAATGGAGCACTTGATATACACATGGAGCACTTCTTAACCTGGGTCACTTGCTGAAAGCTAGTTGGATCATTATGATCTCAGATGGCACATCTAGATCATATGTAGAGAATCAAGCATGCTGATGGATCATTTGGAATATTGATGGCTCATCAGAAACATTGTTGGCTCGTCCACAACTCTATGGCTCAATAGGAATACTTGGTGGCTCAACTCAAGTCGATGGTTCAACATGATCACATTGATGGCTCAACAAGACTGCACATGGCACATCATGTATAATGAAGGCACATCCAAATGCTCAAAGGAACATGAATTTCGTCTATGGTCCATCATGAACATGTGGTGGTACATCTTCAAGTTCAAGACACATTCTAACGTTTAAGAAACAATTCAAGTTGATCAACAACACTTCTGGAAGTTGATGACATCTAAGAAGACAATTGAGCAACATGATGCTCATGTTGCTCATCACATTTTCAATGTCGATCAAGAAGGCTCAAGAATTATGAAGACTCATAACTTGGATGGAACCCTAACGGAATACTAACGGAATTGAAATATTCCATCCATTCTCCGTTAAGTAGGGAAAAGGTGTCAACTGCTGACTAAGTCATTATGACGTGTCAACACCTGATTGGTCAAGCCATGTCATGGGCTTTTCCAAAGCCTATAAAGAGGCCCCTTGGGATCCATTATAAAGTTGCTCTTTTTTTATCATTCCTGCTCATTCTGCATAACTTCTGCTTAGACTAGTCTTTAGAGAGCCATTTGAGAGTTTTAGTGTGTTTTACATTCAAACACTTGTAATTGAATCTTCATGAATATGAGAAACATTTGAATCATTGATCTTGAACATTAAAAAACGTTTTTATCATTAACTTGGTGATTCACAACTCTTTATTTTCCGCACTACTTGCCACTTGACGATTCTGAAACTCTGTTTCAGTATTTTCAACACTTGGACTATTCTAGTCTAGGTTTACTGGATTACTCTCATTTCCTTCATGTTCCATTTATCATAATAGGGTAAAAGCGATATCTTGGGCCCCTCGACGATTTTCTGTTGACTTATGTGTCGGGCCCGGTTAGGACTGAATTGATGTGTTCAATTAAGTTCTATGCCAAACAAATCAGAAGTCGGGAAAAAAACTATTGGATATTGAGATTGATTATGTTCCATCTCTTTGTCTACACAATATCTTGCAGAACGGAGGAATATATGATCCCTTATCTAAAGGACGCGTCATTGACTAGGTCAGAGTTCGACAGCGGCTTTTGAGAGCTACGATTGCTAATTAGATTCTGAAGTTGCATTGGCAGTTATAGTTATTAGACTTATCCAAGTGGGAGACTGTTGGACTAGGTGTCTAAGCCCATAATATAATTGGGATGTACTTGATCTGATAGTAGCATGGTCCTTTTGGGTTGCCTTCACCATAGCAACTTGATAGGATGAATTATGGAGAAAGAGGTTGATAAATGATTTATTAATATATTATAAGAATAATATATTAATTGAGAAATCATATTATTTAATTAGTATTGATCAGAAATTAATTTGGAATTAATTTAGTGATCAAAAGAGACTAATTAAAAGTAAGGGGACTAATATTGCAAATCATTGATAGTTACAAGTTGGACTAATGGACTCCTAAGGAACGAGTGGACGAAATCTATGGGAAGCCCATAGAGATTTCATCCAAAGGGCCTTCGAGAAGGATTCCATGGATTGCTTAAGGCCTAAGAAGAGAATTAGGGTTTCCATCTAAAACCCTAGCAGCTCAACCATATAAGGAACCCCTTGGTTATCAATTTTCGGCCCTATGCATTCATAGAAAACCCTAGCCGAATTCAAGAAGCCTCCATAACCTCTCTCTTGTTCATCCTTTGCTAAGTGGTGTTTGTGAGTCCATTAGAGGTGCAACGTTTGAGGCACTAAGCTCTTGAAGGTCAAGATCAAGTTATCAACAAGAAAGGTATTCTTCTAACCCTAATATGATTAGATTTCGTTTTCTTGAGTGCTAGATTAGGGTTTTGCATTGAAAAATTAATTTGCATGTATCAATTGAGAAAAACCTAGATCCAAAGCAATTAGGGTTGCATGTGCATCATAGGAATGTTGTAATGCTCAAAACCCATTACTTCTCGACCAGATTCAGGGCCAAGTTCGCACCGGTAATAGAGGTGCAACAGCTTGCATGGGAATTCCAGGATCTCCGGCAGACGGATGAGATGGTGACGGAGATGACCGCTATGTTTAGGGAGAGGGATGAGATGTTGAGGAGCGATATTCGGTAGTTTGTGAGCCAATCCAGCTGTAAGACGCTGGAGGATATGATAGCGAGGGTATGGGAGAGAGAGATTGATTTAGAGATGGAAAGGAAGAGGAATCCAGAGGCAGCATCCGGCGTGGAGGGCTCGGGCAAGAAGCCCAAGGTATATTCTCGAGGGAAGGGCCAGCATAGCTGAGGCCCGTGCGGCAAGAGTGGTAGGACGCACGACGGGACGTGCATGGCGGGTAGTTCGGGCTGCTTTAAGTGCGGCCGAACCGGATATGTCAGTAGGGATTGTACTGTTACCACTACCACCACCATTGTATCTGATCTGATTTGCTTCCATTGCAATCAGAGGGGCCGCAAGAGGTCCGAGTGTCTGAGTTTAGCAACAGCAGGACAGGTGGCAGTACCCGCTCCTGCTATATTGAGGATTACAAATCACCGACAGGGCCGGACAGAGGCGCTTCTAGTGAAGAGTAGAGCCTTCCAGCTGACAGCAGAGGACGTACGTGTAGCTCCTGATGTTGTGATGGGTATGTATTTTCTCCTTATCTCTTTATTTATATTGATTTTTCGCTTATGTTTATGTGTTTCATTATAGGATCATTCTTAGTGAACAGTATATCTGCTCTGCTATTGTTCGATTCGGGGGCTACCCGATCCTTTGTATCGCTCACGCTTAGAAAGCGATTGTTGGAGCTCCAGTGGAGCTAGACTGTCCCTTTGATGTAGAAATAGCAGATGATAGGACCGTTCGGGTCGCGAGGGTTCATCAGGGATGTACACTGCAGTTGTTCGATGAGCAATATTCCGTGGATTTAGTCCTTATTCCCCTGTGAGGGAATAAGGTTATTGTGGGTATAGATTGGTTGAGCCCCAATGGGGCAGTGATCCACTGTGAGCAGTAGCTTATGCGAGTTCGGACCCCAAGTGGAGGAGTTTTGGTGATTCAGGGTGAGAGGCCGCAGTGTGGACCGACTTTGTGTTCAGCAGCAAGCGCGAGGTGCTATCTACAGCAGGGTTGTGCAGGTTATGTCGCCTATGTCATGGATACTCGGGATAAGGGTAAGGCGAATGTGGATGAGGTACCGATCGTACGGGAGTACCTAGACGTATTCCTGGAAGATTTGCCTGGGACACCTTCGGAGAGTCAGGTAGAGTTCAAGATTGAGCTAGTTCCTGATGCGGCTCCGATACCAAGGCACCATATCGGTTGGCTCCTCCCAAGATGCACGAGTTGTCTATACAGCTGCAGGAGCTATTAGACAAGGGATTTATCAGGTCGAGCAGGTCGCCATTGGGATCCCCGATCCTGTTTATGAAGAAGAAGGACGAGTCACATCGGATGTGTATAGATTACCAGGAGCTGAATAAGGTAACGGTGAAGAACCGTTATCCCCTCAAAGGATTGATGACTTATTTGACCAGCTTCAGGGTGTATCTTTGTTCTCTAAGATTGATCTGCGATCGGGTTATCACCAGATGCGAGTCAAGGACGACGATGTGTAGAAGATGGCCTTTCGGACTCGCTATGGTCACTATTAGTTCGTGGTGATGCAGTTTGGGCTCACCAATGCTCCAGCCGCGTTCATGGACCTCTTGAACCGCGTGTGCAGACCGATGCTGGATCGGTCTGTGATAGTTTTTATTGATGAAATCTTGGTTTATTCCAAGACTCAGGAGCAGCATGAGGAGCACCTGAGGGAGGTGCTGGAGACACTGAGGAGGGAGAGACTTTTCACAAACTTCTCCAAGTGTGAGTTCTGGTTGTGCGAGTTGCAGTTTCTGGGGCACCTTGTCAACCAGAAGGGTATTCCCGGTCGATCCGACCAAGATAGAGGTCGTGATGCAGTGGGAGGTTCCGAGGTCTCCATCTAAGATTCAGAGTTTTCTTGGTCTAGCGGGTTATTATCGGAGATTCATCCAGGATTTCTCCAAGATTGTAGTTCCCTTGACCCGACTGACCAAGAAGTCAGTGACATTCCGCTAGGGGCCTGAGCAGTAGGCAGCTTTCGAGACTCTTAGACAGAGATTATGTGAGGCACCGATTCTGACATTGCCGGAGGGCGTCGATGCCTTCATGGTTTACTGTGACGGTTCGATCACGGGT